TCTGTAAATTCGGTATGATACCACGGTACCGCATTTTAAGGGTAATATAATAATATTTGTATACCGCAGAATTTATAGGGGCAAACAATTAAATCCGGATCCATATCAGATATATTAAAAGTAACTCTAGTAACGGTAAATGTTTAAATTTACTGCGTAGGATACGCAGTCTACAAAAATAGTATAGTATGATAGTAAATATCAGATATGGTTGCAGAAAGAAGTCTGTGTACGTATAAGAGTTTGTTCTATAATTAGAATATTTAATTTTTTCTCAGGTAATTATATACCGGTATCAAAAGGATATTTGCAAAAATATTAATTATCGATCGTTATAGTATAATCTTTTCATTTGAATTTTAGTAAAGATTTATTTTCAGAGGACTTGGTAGACTATTTGACTGTTATACAATTACCGGTATAATCTTCACTGCCGAGTTGATCATTATTTCTTATATCTGGGGATTAACTAACGAGAGATCCGCAGACATGAAAAATTCAAAGTTGCGTTTTCTGAACTTCGACATTAGAAATGAAGTTGTATGTCATGCTCCAAATGATATATCGAAGCTAGGTGTAGATCACATGTTATGCCAGAGCTCACATTAAATATAATATAATGTACTTATTTATGTAATAAAAAAATTACATTTAATAAAATTATTTTTTTCCTCCAAATTTATCTATCGACGAAAATTTTTTTTCCCGCCAAAATTAAGTTTTATTTATAAAACGATAGGTTTCTTATGTTAATTAACCTTATTGATCACTCGCGCCTGCAGTGATAACCTTTATAAAAATTGTTCAATATTTAATAAATAAATAAAATAAATTAAATTGTTAATATATATGAATGCTGCCAACGAAAAACCTATAAGATTTTAAATTTTTAATGTTTCGGACTTAACCATAGAAAATTTACGATTGTGTACGATACATAAAAGTTTTAAATCATAACTTACGGGTTTTTACTTGGTAGCATTCATATAATTAGCACAAAAAAAAAAAATAAAAAATAAAAGAAAACTTACATCATCAATCTTGAGAATCATCTTTACTAGTTGTGTAGCCAATAAATATTGTTGTCTTTTTGAAATAAGAGGATCGTAAACAAATTTTTCTTTCATATCTATAAAAATTAAATATTAAATATATTCGTGTGATATTGTTTCATTATTAATATATAAAAGGTTGTTACCATTAGACCCAGTCATCATGCAATCAATACCAAGGCGACTATTATTCTCGGTAACTTGACGAGATTTGATATCAGCCAAAGTTTCTATTGGAGAAAGTCCTGAATTTTCAGCTAATGCCATGGGAATCGCATCTAAAGCATAGGCGAATGCACGTATAGCATGTTGTTCTATAGATGATATCTTATAATAAAATTGCAATATTGATATTAGCAAAAATAAACAACATTTTAAATTGGCACATTAATATGAAATATTATTACCTGATCTGCAGCTTTAGAAACAGCAAGAGAACAACTAATTTCGGCGGCACCACCACCATATACAACACGATTATCACGAACTAAGTTACGCACAACACAAAGCGCATCATGAGTAGCACGTTTAGCCTCATCAACAATCTATACAAAGTTAAGTAAAAATAATTGATAAAACTGATGAAATTCATATAACAAGAAAAAGAATTTCTCGAATTAAAAATAATCACCATTTTGTTACTGCCTCGTACGAACACAGTGACAGCACGAGAATTTGAGCATTCTTCAATAACTAACATACGATCCTTTGTAGTTCCGAAAGAAATCTCACGTACAAGGCCAGCCACGCCAAGTTTTTCGGGTCTAAGGTCTTCAAAGCGTGGTACTATGCGACCATTAGTGGCAATGGCAATTAACTAAGAGATATTAAAATGGCATGAATATATTTTTTTTTCATATATATAGCATTGATCAATAGTTTTAATTACCTCAATCTCTGGACCACCAACCCATCGAACAGCAGGTAATTTATTCTGCATTAGTAGATGATTTGCCTCATCATCAAAACCCCATTGACATATAACTAAGTTTGCGCCTGTATCTTTGACGCGTTTAATCATCTCTTCAAATTTCTCCCTCTCGTAATTTTGCAATTTTTTGTATTCATCAACAGAAGTAATGTCCAATTTATGTTTAGTCTTTGGTTTTGGAGGTTCAAAAGGACATGTCAATATGGCAATTTTGGCATCTCGAACTTCTCGTGGCATTTGCGGATGCGACATATCCTTGTCAACAACAACACCTTGTACAAGAATAGTGTCAACAAGAGATCCACCAACTTTACCATCAACTTTAATGAGTTCAAAATCAACATCTTTGCGCTCTAAGTCAGCAACTGATAATACAGCATCTACAGCTATTTTAGCGAATTGCTCGTGATGTTTAGAGACGCTTTAACAGATTAATAATATCAAAATATGTAGTTTTAAATGAAGAAAATATTTATAAGTAAAAGAATTTTTTAAAAAAACAACTTTATAGATAGAGATAAATATAAATAATTACATTTTACTTCCAAGACTTGTCATAGCAGTTTTAAATAAATTTTCAGTATTTTCTTTTGTGAAATCAACTACATCAGAAATTTTATTTAAGTGTTCAACAGCAATTTTACATGCACTTTCAAATCCATCCGATATCCGAATTGGATGAATTCCGCGATCTAATAGAGTTTCACATTGTTCAAGAAGGGAACCAGCCAGAACTTGAAAGAAACGCGTGTAACGAATTAAATATATAAATTTTTACATTAGAGAAAACGGTTAAATATTTCATATATTTATTACTTGCGTGTATATATATATATAACATACCAACTACACCAGTTGTTCCGTCTCCTATTTCGTCATCTTGAGATTTAGATAGTTGAACTAATAATTTCGCGATTTGATGCTCCACCTCCATCTGCGTCAAGATAGTGGCGCCATCATTGGTTACTGTGATATCACCATCTGGAGAGATCAGGATTTTGTCAAGACCTTTAAAATTTAAAATATCGTAAGTATCATAGATATGTATACTTCAGAAGAATATAACATAATATAACATAAGGAATAATCCAATGTCAGATCATCTAGATTAATAAGTACTATCGAATCGAAACTACGATATAAAAACGATAATTTCGAACTACAATACTTTTTACAGTTGAACTCTAAACCTTATTTAAAAAGATAATAAAACAAACCTCTAGGCCCCAGAGAAGTTTTAATAATGTTTGCTACAGTCTTTGCTGCTAAGATGTGAGACTAATTTTTTAAGCTTTTGTTAGAAAATAGGAATCAAAGTCGAATTTAACAAATCTAACAGCTTATATCAAGGAATTAAAATAACCTTTATGGCGTCAATTCCACTAAGTCGACTTTTTTTCTGTTGCTCTCTCACTATAATAAAAGGACGTCCGTACTCATCAGTTGCGTAAACAGCACTCATATTATTCATGTTTGCCATTTTGATTATACGTTTATAACGAAAGACACTAATCTGACATCTGAAAAAATTTACTAAGGATCTAGGTTTTGTGGTCACGTGATGAAATATGGGTTAGGTTTTACATGATCGTTATTGGACTGATATTTGTCGTACGACGGAATACGTAGAATTTAGAATTTAAATTGACGTTACGATAAAGTTGGTTCTAAATTCAAATGTCACTATTCTTCTCTAATTCAGATGACCGAATCTAACAGCTAAGATTATCCATTTTTATAATGCATTTGAAAAATTACTTTCCAAATATCTTGACAGAAAAATCAGTTAATAACGACTTAAGACATTGATTTTCTGTAACTTGGAGAAAAATCGTTATTATACAAAACACGTTTTGCTACAGTATAATTTTTTGTTAGTTAGTTAATGGTAAATTTTCAAAAATTTTCTGTAGTTTAGCGAAAAATCATTGTTTATAATATATGAAATTATCGTTATTAAATTCTATTTCGTCAGGATCAAAAATATTATTGCGCTTCGGACGATCTACGGACAGTTCTTAGGGACATTGCAATGACCAGAATTAGATTTAGGGTTAGGGTTAGAGTAGGTGTATATTGGTAATGTCAGTCACATAGCACTGTCCCTAAGAACTGTCCGTAGATTCACCGATTGCGCTTAGATAATTTTGTCATGTGAGAATCGGAGATTTTGCGAACCTCTATGTATAATGTAATGTTTCTAATTCATATGATATATACGTAATTATATTATTTAGTATAGATTCTTAAATTTGAATAATCTCGCCATCATCATCACAAAAATCACATGTTCACATCTTTTGCAAAGCGCTATAATATAAAACTTCTATATCAACGTTATTATTTTCAATAACAGATTGTTCAGAATTATTATTTGAACGATCACAATCCTCAGAATCAGAATTAAGTCGTTAATAATTTCACAAGGACTATAATCGATATATTATCAAAAATTTCTTGATAATTATTATTTGAAAAAACGCTCATTCTGCTATTAGAATACCTTATAGATAATTCTTTTTACATTGGGTTCTTCGACTTCTTTTTTAAGTAATTCCTTTTTATTAGAATTTTTGATTAAATCAGTGTTTTTTATTTTTCTATTAAGTTTTTCACTTCTGATGATGTTCAGTAGAAGGTTGAGGATTTTTCTTTGTCATGAAATTCAAAAGTTAGAGATAACATTTATGATTTTAAATCAGACAGGAATACGGTATTTCTGATCTGGGTGTGTAAGTACCGGTAAATTATTTTAACAGTCAAGTAGATTCTAAATCTACAATAATTCCATTCCGATAATAGAATCAAACTTTAAGTCATTGTGTAAATTTCGAGGACTATAATCGTTTTAAAGAACAATTTCATATTCCAGTATTCAAAATACTTGGAAAACTAATCATATATTTTTTTGCTATGTTCCAAATAAATAAAAACCAAAATTTTTTTGATTTCATTATTCACGATAAAGATTGGTGGGATTCTAGGGGGATGGAAGTGTGATACATATTATATGAAAATAATTAGTACATATTTGTCATATAATTATCTAGTGTTACAAGGTGGACTAGGGGTCGGCTTCGGATTTGTTCACGATACACAACATATAAGAAGGAAGAAAGAGGCGTACGATTTGGCGAGTTTATAATTGAGGCGACTTTATAACCTGGAATCGTTGTTCTTTATTAATTGATTTTTACATCCTTTTACAACTTTTTTACATACTCCATCTAATTTATATAAATAGGACAATGCGCAAGGAATTTCTTGTCTTTGGGGTTGGGCTTAGCATTCGGGAAGAAATGACTGGTATTTTTTTTTCAATTCTTTCTTGTTCTTAGAATGCAAAGCCATTTCATCTTTTTTACGCGTTTTCACAGCACACAACCTCAAGCCTCTCACCATTTTCTGAATTATTACTTTCTCGTTTCTTGGACGCGCTTTAATAACTTTCCCTTTTTGGTTTAGCTTTTCCGAATCATTGTGACCTCGGAATCACGGGAAGGTCACGCATCAAGTGCTATCTCGGGACTCGGTATCACTAGAATCACACGTTTGTAAACTCATTTCCTAATTTTTTTTTCGATATAGTTTGTTTTGCGATTTCACGTGTTGTAAAAAATCGTGATTATATAAATTTAACTTTCTCTGATTATTTTTTCTCTCTAGCCTTTTCTTACCTTTTACCTGCTTTGAGTAGTCTGTTTAGCAATGCTTTGATTCTGCTAAGGCTTTGAGTAATACACATTAGTTACGGTTTGATACAGCGTAAAAGGTTTTAGATTTGAAAGGGTTTACTAATTAGGGTTCTTTTAGATTGTAGGTTATCGTTATAAAAATATTTTCGTTGTAATATTTTCGCGTTTTTATATTTTATATTTTTTTTTTACTTATGGCTAATTTAAAAAAATATATACTATATTTAATAGATAGAAAAAAATTAATTCGAATGCTAAAGGATATTTATGATCATATTGCCAAAGAATTTTTCAAGAAATATCTATTAAGAAATTGGAAATTCATGGCGTTCAAGTTGCAGGTAATTTTCAGCTTACTAATTTATTTTCAGCTTACTAATTTTCTTAATAAAAGTTAAATATTTTAATTAAATCAATAATATTTTTAGAATTTAAAATGAAAATTTATTGTCTGTTCTTGAAATATTAAACATAGTCTATATAAACATAAGATTCAATGTAACCTGGAATCAAAATAATATATTTTATTTATTACTTTAGAGTTAGGGCTTTTGTTAGATCAGAGTTAAAAGGATAAGTCTAATTTTGATGATTTTACTATCATTAGAACCAGAAAAGAGAGCTCTACAACTTTACTTAGAAGCATAAAAAACTTTTACTTAATAAAAATTTCTTTATTTTTTAAAGAAAGATTTTAACCAATCATATTATATAAAATACAGAGTCAGTTTTTTGACTTAAAGAACATAGTAAAGAAGAGTTCAACTTTGAATCAAGATCTTCTTAAAGTTATATTTTTAATACCCTGTAAAAATTTATAAAAAAGAAGCATTAAATACTCAAAAATATAAATCTCACTTTAAAAAAAAAAATTTCTTTTTATTTTTTTAAGTAAATCAAGATTAAATGAATTTTTTTCATAAATTTACATATGAAATTGAGGTACATCAAGTCATTTGACCTATAATTACAACAATCAAAGTTATATGTCCTATGCCTGATAGATTTACTTATTAAAATTTCGACTTATCTATATAGCTACGATTATCGATTAATTAAAATACAATAACGATAATATAGCTACTACGTAAGAATAACAATATTTTGCACATGTTAGCTTTCTAATAGGCTATTTCTTTTTTATTGGTATTAGTTATTATTAGGCCCGATTTAACAATCGGGTATATTTATAAAAAGCCCAAGCCTGGCTCAATATTAGTGAGTCCAAACCCCAAGCTCGGCCCGTAAACTCCCGGGCTTATCCCGGGTCAATCAGGTTACCCGATCACCCGGGTAAAACCTGTCGATCACCCGGGTGGCGTTTTTTTTAATGCTAGTCGGGATCACATGTCGGACACCATGCTTCTTTATAGTTTAAAATTATACTCACTGACTAAATTAATGCGAATAAAAATATTTGAAGTAATAGTTAATAAGTATTTATTTGCCAATTTTAATTCCACTCATTAATAAATCATCTTTATACTCACTGAATAAAATGATTTGCAGAGTATTAGGTAATGTAAATAAGTATTTATATTTCTGATTTTTAATTCCATGGTTAATAATCATCTTTATACTCAGACTAAATTAATGTGAATGAAATGATTTGAGGGGGTTTAAATAATAGTAAATAATGATAAGTATTTTATGTTCATAATTTGCTGATTTTAATTTCACAGATTAATAAATCAACTTTATATTCACTCACTTAATTAATGCGAATAAAATGATTTAGTATAAATTTCATAGTAAAATCGGCGGGCATTTACTAGTTGTCTTATATAGTAAGTGGAATGCCGTTCTTAAGAAAAAACCCTATAGTAAACGATTAAAAAATACCAATATCTCGGAATATTCTGGACAGTTTGTGATGATTTTACCACCATTATAACGAGAATAATCGCCTCTACAATTTTTCTTAAAAGCTCAAGAAAAGTTTACTTCGTAAAAAAAAATATTTTTGTATGTAAGCGAGCCCCATTCCTGCATTATAGAAAAACTATATTAAGTTCCGCCGTTTTTTACTATGAAATTTGCTATTTTTTATACCCTTCAGATCCGAATTACCTCTTAAGGGTTTTAGATAATACTGTAATATGGTAAATAAGTATTTATGTTCATGACTTGCTGATTTTAATTCAACTGATTAATAAATCATCTTTATGCTTTCCGACTAAATTAATGCGAATAAAATGATTTGAAAAGTATTAGGTAATGGTAAATAAATAAGTATTTATACTTAGGGGAGTCACAGATGTTACGTAATATCCCGAGGGGAGAGGGTAAGAGACATATGAATTTTTTTTTACTAGCTAATATAGATGTCTTACCTGAGGGAGGGGTCAGTTACTATTAAAATAATATTACGTAATAATTGCGACTCCCCTTATTATTTTCTGATTTTAATTCTACTGATTAATAAATCATCTTTATACTCACGAAGGTATTAGATAACGGTAAAAATAGAGATGTATCTCGCGTGAGATAACAAAATTCTCACACCCGCAACTTCATGCATCTTGCGCGGGTGGCACTTATTTCATCGACATTCATTTTACCGACAGTGTCATTTCACCGACATTTTAGCCCGATTTAGGGTTAGGGTTTAGCCAGTTTTATATTTTCGGTGAAATAATACAGACCCCCTTGCGCAAGATGATGTCAACCTTGCGTGAAGTAAAATTATTCGATTAAGATAATTTTAATAATCAGTGAGTTATCGATTTAATAGTCTTTTTAATTAATTAAATAATATTAAATAACTACGTTCTTGTTATGAATGTTTTTTACATGGCTCACATAAAATCGCGCAAAATCACGCAATGTAAATTTGCGTGAGGTTGTGAATATATGCTAGTTTGACCTCGCGCAAGGTACATCTCTAGGTAAAAGTATTTATGCTTATAATTCGCTGATTTTAATTCCTGATTCATAAATCATCTTTATACCCACGAGCTAAATAAAATGATTTGAAGGTATTAAGTAATGGCAAATAAGTATTTATATTCATTATTTTCTGATTTTAATTCCGCTAATTAATAAATCCTCGTCAACTAAATAAAATGATTTGAAGAGTTATAGATAATGGAAACTAAGTATTTATGTTCAATTATTTGCTGATTTTAATTCCATTGATCTTTATACTCACCGACTAATTTAATGCGAATGAAATGATTTGAAGGGTATTAAGTAATATAAATAAGTACTTTGCGGAAATCTCATATTTTTGCGATAGCATTAAAATATTCTATATCTGGTGTAAATTATTAATAATATAGGAAGCTAAGAGGTAATTTTACTAGTAATTCATCAATTTAGTTTCTTACTAGCACTATTAACGAGGTTTTTGACGAAATATGAAAAATTAGTAATTTTTTTAAAAAACATAGTTAATACCTCGTTAATAGTGCTAGTAAGAAACTAAATTGGTGATTTACTAGTAAAATTACCTCTTAGCTTCCTATATTATTAATAATTTACACTAGATATAGAATATTTTAATGCTATCGCAAAAATGTGAGATTTCCGCAGAGTGGGAGCCGATCAAAATCTCGACAAGGTCAAGATTAGCCCGCATTAGGGTTAGGGTTAGCATAGTGTTAGTCAATTTTGTCGGGATTTTTGTTTGTCGGGGGAATTTTGACCCAAACCCCCGCAAAGTAGTATCATAAATACTTTACAAAAATTTAGAGTTTTAAAACTTGCAAATATAAGCAAAATAAAGTATTAAATTAGCAATATTATTAATTTATTACAAAATTATTACTTTATCAGTACTATTACCTATATAAATTATTAGTAATTTTTAGGTTTTTATTACTACTAATATTTTGTTATAATAAAATTATAATAACAAAGTACTAAAAAAGTCAAAATTTGGCAAAAATTAGTACTTTATCAGCACTTATAAAAAGCCAATTTTTAGTAATTTAAATTTTGAATTATTTTTGTAAAGTAGACCAAATCGTCTATTTGAGAGCTTTCTGCCAATATTGTATATAGCCTTTTTATTCTTTTATTTATTCTTTCATTTATTTGCTAACTTTTTGGGGTTCTTCCGAAATAACTGACATCATTTGACTTTAAAATTATTATCTTATTTTCCAACATAATTTATTATATTTGAGAATAGAATTAAATATTAATTTTGAAGCAGTAACAAATCTTATATAATATCTTGAAGAGAAAAGAGAGGTAAAAAAACTTACATAATATTAGCTATATATTTAAATTTACTTATCTGTTATTTTACTAACGACTATTTTCAAAGTTATTTAATTTAGAGTTATTCTTAGATTTAGTGATTATTAAAGAGTTAAAGTAATAACTGTTGATAAAATAAAGTAAATTTCGATTTCGCATATAACTTGGTATTAGTATAATTAAATTTCAAAGTACAAATTAAAATTAAAATTTTATGTTCAAATTAAAGAACTTATTTGATTTAGCCAATACAAATAAATTAAAATTGATTTTTAGTTGAAATTAATCTTATCAGTAGTAAAAATGTTAGCGCTTTTAAAAATTCTTTCCAACCTTAAATTCAACTATAAATTCTAATATAGAAAATTAGATTAAATTTTATATACAATACTTGTAATAATAATACGTAATTATTATAATAAATATATAATACAGTAATAAATATATAAGTACTACCTATAAAATTTTATAATAAATATTGAAAATATGTATGAAAACCAAAATAATTACGTATAAGTAAAAAAACAGCATTAATTTTAATTTTTCAAAATTTAGATGTCGTTATAATAAAAAAGATACGGATAATAAGGCTGTAAAGATCAACTAACGTTTTGTTATGCCATTTTACTGCATGCAGATAAGTTTCATATTTTTGCTTACGTAGCATAAATCTTATGCAATCTAATGTAGAAAACCTTTCAATTTTTAATATCTTAATGTGCAGAAAACTTTTTAATATATTAATGCAGAAGCAAAAACCCTTAACGTCTCACCAGTAATGAACAAAATAATCGGTGATATAATTTGTAAACCTAGTAAGTTATAAATTAGAATACTATTTACAAGTCATTATAAAAACTTATTATAATATTAATAATTTCGATGGCAATTAGTTCGAGTCTAACTTAAGGTTAGGTTTTGTACAACATTTTTCAGGGAGAAAAAAATGGCAATAATACTGCATCTTTATGTTGACCTCATAAATTTCATAAATAGTATAATTTATCGTTTATTATATTTCATTAAACAAAATATATTATTAAATTAACAATTAAAATGAATAGATAAAATAATTTCACAAAGTACTCTATTAAAAATAATCTTCCTTGGTCGAAGGCACAAATCTAAAGGAGTCAATCATATAGCTAGTAACATAAGGACCAAAATCTTCGGAGGTAACGCCTTCATTCGTCGACCCAACATATTTCAAACATCCAGGTAAATATCGAAGTACAACGATCAGATTATATTGTGGCGGTTGTTCAGTTAAATCGAGTTTTCCCAAGTGAACCAATACTATAAGAAGAAAACAAGGAAATTCAGTTCTTGAAAAGAAAAAAATAAATAAATAAATAAATGATCTTTTTTTTTTTTCAACAAATACCTTTGATGATGTCAGAATCATCGGTATAAATTCCAGTTCCCCAAACTTTAGTATCTTGTCGCATAATGCTTGCGGTGGTGAGCCATTTTGATTTGATAAATATTTCAGCGGTTTCACCAGGTTTTGATTTTATGACATTTGGATAAATGTAGAAATTATCTACTACCTTAAATGAAAAATTAAAGTTAACAAAAAAGAAGCAGTTAAAATTAGGGATGTTGAGTGGTTCAAATGAATCTATTTCAACTAGTTTTTTAGTAGTTTGTTCAAAGAAAATTAACTAGAAATTGTTAACCTGGTTTCATAATCTAGTTCATAAACTTGGTTTATAAACTCAGTTTATAAAACTAATTTATAAAACTGGTCTAAAAGCCTGGTCTATGAACTTGTTCAAAATAAAACCAGTGTAATAATTATCTTGTATATTGCCCTTTGCTCATATTATGAATTACGCAGATAAAATTTCCTATTATTCAATGAACTTAGTTCAGTTTGAACTTCATAGTTAATGCTTTTAAGTTTATGAGCTCAAGTTCAATTCCAAGTTCAAACTTTAAAGCTAAACTAAAGTTTATAAACTTTAGTTTAGTTCGTTTTTTTTTTTTTTTTTAAACTCCTTGGGACTGAACTGAAACTGAACTAAGCGAACTACTTAACATCCCTAGTTAAAATGTTTAATGTATAATTTTTATTTATTTACTTTCGGCTTAACAATCAATTCAAATATAGGGAATTTTTGAGAAGCAAGGATCAAAGCCAATTCATCTTCGAAAGAAATTACAATAAGGTCATTATCTTCATCCGGAGAGTAGAGCTCTATACGTTTGTCATAGGTTATGTCAAAACGTTCGCGTAACTGATTTATGAGAAATAATTTTAGTAAATGTTTCATTCTATAATAATTCACGAAAAGTATATTTCTTTACCTTTTGCTCAAGCTCTTCTAAACTAATATTTTTTCTGATATTAATTTTACGAGAGATCTGTTTACCATATAATTTATATCTAGCTTTGATAATCATGTTTTCAGTTTCTCAAATTCTCTAAAGCTCAAATTCGATGTTAAAAACTTGAAATTCTTCGATATTAACATTATATATAAGTAAAATTATAATCATACTACAAATTAGTATTAGCTGGTATGAAAATACTTTATTCCCTAATATCGATATGACAAGGGATGTGAAATTAGGTATGGCAAATTTTGTCGCTCATTTTATTTAAATGAACTATCTAACGCTAAATAAAGTAAATTTTATTAAGAATTTTCCATAAATCAGATGTTATTTTTACTTGTCACCCGATGAATTGCCCATCACCGAAAATTTCCTGTAAAAAAAAAAAAAAAAAAAAAAAATATATATATATATATTCTGCCTAATCAACTTACCAGTTCAAGTATACTATATACGAAATTAAAAGATTATTATAATATTGACATTTCCGAAACCGAATATTTTACAGCGCTCTTTGCAAAGAAATTTAATAAATTTGGACTTTTTTGTAATTAATTACCGTTATAAAGTATTATGGTATAACTGATAACCGCACGTACGACGTGACCGAATCTAAAAGGGTGTACATACTGATACAGTAACATGTGTATCTATGGAGGCTCGACCATAATTAATGTGCTTAATACATCAAACTATAAATATAAACATGCAACATAATGTTCGCACTTTTTATCAATAAAAATTTTTTCTTTTATTGAAAGAATACAAAAGATTGTCTTCGTACATGTTGATTTAATTAATCGCATACTCGGAAATGTCTGTGTTCAAATTATAATCCTCCAATGGCTATATCGATGATATATATATTTTTTTTCACATGTTAAATTAAGCTACGTTGATTACAGTAATAGAAAAATAAAAGAAAGACTACGAAAATAAATGTCCAATCGTACGAAATTGATTTCTAAAAACATCTGATATTATTAGGGATGGAGATTTTTACACTAATAGGTAATAATAAATAAAAAAACTCAAATGTAAACTACAACCTGATCGAATATTTTAAACCTCAGAGAATTATGTTTCTCAAGTTCAAGTTGCATTTGTGAATCATAATAAATAAACATAATAGGCAATAACGATAATTGAATAAAGGATTAAAAAATCGATATTGCTTAAATAAATAATTTACATTGTCTGTGCGAGAAAATTATACTCAAGTACTAAGTAAACTTTTATCTTATCAGTTATACAGTATAACGTATGAGTCATTTTCAAACTTGACAGACTTGTCGGAACTTAAATGGTTTATTTAAATAAACTTTTACTTAAATAAATATTTGAGAAACTCGGCATATTGAATCTAAGTGATTTTATTTAGAAACTGACCTATGATTAAATTTTAATATAAACCTAGCAGCTAGGTGTCAAAATTTAGCATGATTTTACGTATAACAGATAAGGATAGGTCTGATTATCGTTATTGTAAAATTTTATCCATATGTATTTTTATCGGGTGCCGCTCACTTCACCGACAGTCATTTCACCGAAAGTTCATTTAGCCGACATCACATGAGGTTAGGGTTAGGGTT